TGTAGGCAGTGAAGGCTGAACTCCCATACTGCATCCTTCTATGGGAGTGACTCAGTATGTAGAGAGGTCAGAATGACCATGACAACAGTCAGCCTGCCCCTTTACCACGGTAATGGCAGCTGCCATATCACACACACAGGTCCTCTTCAGGCTGCTACAATGGCTGATTTCCCTTCCGGTAGAAACGCCCCGTCATAGAAGTCACTTCCATTATATACATCTCCATATAGGTGGAGGACCCTCTATGAAGGTCCTAATACAGAGAGGTGGAGGTCCCCCACATGTCACTTCTCAGGGATGAGCACCAGGGGGGGGTACAGCCGATACTCATCTAAGGGGCCCGGGCAGCCTGGGGGGCCCGCCCCTTACATGACTATCGGCCGACGGTGAAGGGCGAGGAGGCGGAGGACTGGCCCTAGCAGCGCAGGGCCCCAGCATTGCCGCTCCAGCGGCTTCGAGACAAGCTGGGGCCCCATCAGCGACGCTGCTCGTCTGATGTCGGACTGGCCGGAAGTGACGTCACGTTATTGACGTGACTTCTGGCCGGTCCGGTCGGCAGACGAGGCCACGTGTGCAGGTAAGAGGAGCTAGGAAGGAAGGAAAGGAGGGGAAGGGAGGGATGCAGCCCTGACCAGCCCACCTGAGACCCCTTCAGAGCCCACCATAGACAGTCTCAGATGGGCTGTGCAGCATCTATGGTGGGCTCTGCAGGGTCACTCTCAGGTGGGTCCTGTGTCCAGCGCGTCACTAAGCCCATGTCCAGCGGCGGGGGGGCGGCCTAAAGCCGTGTAAGGGGCCCCAACATTTCTGATGGCTGCCCTGATGAGCACAGTGTATAGACATTGCAGGTTCATCAATGTAATGAGTTCCCTGATGTGTGTCATGTCTGTCCTCCAGATTCAGAGCTGGCCCTGATCTCCCCCCTATGGAGACAGTTATAGACGGAGCCCATCTAGCACCACCATGGTGACCCCTTTATAAGGTCTTCTATGGGGATATGAGAAGATCTAGCAGTAAAGGACGGGGGGGGGAGGAGGCGTTCTCCTCCGAAATGTCCATAAGGTTAGGGACAGGGAAGGTTTTCTCCTCTCTGGGGATTTAGAGGTTAATATTCCTCTAGTCGGAGGTCGGAGATCCGGGTGGGACTCTCTTCACCTCTATAATAGTCCCTTGTATCTCCTCTCATATACTTTATACCATAAAACAGACAGCGATGTCCTCAGATCAGAGGACGGGATGCATCCGTACAATCCTGCAATGTCTACAGATCACCCGGAGGGGACTGATCCCTTCTCAGTGATGTCGGAGTTCCCCTTTAATCATTGCTGTCACCGGCCTGGGGGCTCCATATAGGGTAGCGCAGTATATGGAGAGCTCGGCTATCCTCATATATCAGTCCCGTATAGAGTGTTACCTCTTTATTTTAGGAATTCAGAGATGGAAACCAACAGGATCATTACAGGAAGATAAGTTCTGATATATGTAAATGAGATGGTGATGATGTCGTGCCGCCTTGATAGTTGTATTTACAGCCGCAGTTATTATTCACGTTAGTGTGATATTAGAAGTTATATCGTTTATCTCCTTACACTATCCTCTCATAGACATTGTATGGTTAGTTCATGTGCTGCCATCTAGTGGTCTTCTTTTGGTATTGCACATGGTTTCCCGTGTTCCCTTCCTCCACATCTATGATGCATTTCCCCCTGTGTGTGTATGCTCTGCCCTTCTTCTTCTTCTTCTTCAGAGTAGCATTTCCTCTGTCATGGCTGCATCTAACAGGGCCACATGTAATCTGCATGTAACAGGGACACGCTTAACCGCTTAAATACAGCAATTCATTCATCTGATGTACGGAATAAAGCACCTTTGTGGATGAAAAAGGTATCAATAAGGTCCAGCTATCTGATAAGGATTGTCCTCAGTGATTGTATCGGCTTATACAGGCCGGGCATAGAGGTCTCAGCAAGGACATGAGTCCAGCTCTCTGATAAGGATTGTCCTCAGTGATTGTATCGGCTTATACAGGCCGGGCATAGAGGTCTCAGCAAGGACTAAATCGCTATCACAACAGAATAGATGTCATATAGTGTGAGCCAATGAGAGCACAAGGCATCAAAGAGGGATGGTCATAACTCTATGTGACTGATAGAAGTGCCGATCTACCTTGGGGTCAGCGTTACTTGTTCTTGTAAAGGAAATGTCGGTAACAGAGACCGGAGCGATTTACAGAAACTGCCCAGCATGCAGGAAAACACCTGTGAACAGTAACTTCGGTTATATGAGACATGGTAATAGACGATTGTATATCGCAGTGACCGGCAGATGTTCACCAAACACGCCTGTCACAGGCACCTAAATCTACCCACTCACCTCACAATCTGATTGGACAAGTGAATGGATTCATGGTAATTGTACAATCAGATCTCACCAGTGGTGTCACTAGCGGTGGGCACCTGGAGAACCTACTCCACAACTGCTGCTGGGTGCCCCGGGTCTGGCACCACCCACCTGCAGCCCATTAGTTGTGGCCACACTGCCCACCATGCAATCACCTGGTGCAATCTGATTGTACAATACCCATTTATCCATTCACTCATCCAATCAGATCTCACCATTGGTGTCACTAGCAGTGGGGCACATATCCCACATCTGCTACTGGGTGCCCCGGGTCCTGCACCACCCACCTGCAGCCACACTGTCCACCATGCAATCACATGGTGCTATGAGGAGGTCACTATATAATTTGTCTCCACACATGGGCACTTCCTGCATCTACATGTCCTTCCACCACCGGCACAGTACCTGGGACCACTCCGTCCATCTAGCCACAGTGCTGAGACACTCCATGCATCTGGCCATGGTGCTGAGACACTCCATGCATCTGATCATAGTGCTGAGACACTCCATCTATCTGGTCATAGTTCTGAGACACACCATCCATCTGCCCATAGTCCGATGTCTTGGTGCGGTTTAAGACAGTGACAGTACCCAGGAAGAAGGACTCTTGTACTTGTTGGAGGGGAATTTTCCTGTATTATGGGCGGTGTTTTCGGGCCTGGATGGGATGTGTTTTATGCTGATATGGACGGTTATATCTCACAAGGGGTCTTGGTGTGTCGTAGATCTAGTCTGGGTGGTTTATCCTGGTGTGGGACAGAAGAACCTGAAATTCACGGCTCCTTCGGGGGTGGGCTCTACACGGGGGAGAGGACAAGACATGTAGGAGAGATCTGATGTGAATTGAAATGTCTGATCTCTGATAAAAGAGGAATAAGAAATCTGAGGAGGATCAGACCATATGAATGGCACAGAATGGATGGAATGACGTCTCACTCACCAAGCTTCATCATGTTTTTGGTTCTTCCTTCAGGACAATTTTCCTATATTGGAGCCATTCCATCTCATTGGTGAAACCCCCAACGTACCGGGATGCTGGGACCTCGTATAGTAGTAGAATAGAAAAATACCCAAGAAAAGGGGGGAGGGGATTTAATAAGTGATAGAGGTAATTAAAGATTTATCAAGAGTTAAAAAACACAAGTTGTGTCTTCTATTCCTCATTAATGTGGAGTGTTTGGGTCATGGAGGGTTTGTGTCATGGAGTGTTTGGGTCATGGAGGGTTTGGTTCATGGAAGGTTTGGGTCATGGAAGGTTTGGGTCATGGAAGGTTTGGGTCATGGAGTGTTTGGGACATGGAGTGTTTGGGTCATGGAGAGTTTGTGTCATGGAGAGTTTGTGTCATGGAGGGTTTGGGACATGGAGTGTTTGGGACATGGAGTGTTTGGGTCATGGAGTGTTTGGGTCATGGAGTGTTTGGGACATGGAGTGTTTGGGTCATGGAGAGTTTGGGACATGGAGTGTTTGGGTCATGGGGGGTTTGGGACATGGAGTGTTTGGGTCATGGAGTGTTTGGGACATGGAGTGTTTGGGTCATGGGGGGTTTGGGTCATGGGGGGTTTGGGTGAGGGAGGGTTTGGGGCGTGGAA